TTATTAGTTATTTTAAGGTTAAAATATATTTTTTAATTTTTTTAAATTTATTTTTAGGATTTAATATAGTCTTATTATTTTTAAAAGATTTAATTTGCTTATTTAATTTAAAAAAAATGTTTAATGCCATCCTTCTATTCAAATTGATATTAACAATAATGAAATTAAATGAAAGAATAACATTAAACTTTTTTTTTCTCAAAAATTAAATAAATTAAACATTTTAAAAATAATGGGATCAAATTGAATATTTTTAATAATTTAATTTAGTCATTTAATTTTCAAGTGATATTTAATGTTGTTCTTCCATCAAATTTCATTAATGCTATTGATGTCAATTTGGACAAAAGAATAATATTGAACATTTAAAAAAAAATTATATGATCAAATTAAACTATTTAAAAATACTTGACTAAATTAAATTTTAAAAATAAATAGAAGGACCAAAAGTATAATTTATTCTTATTTTAACAATTACTTCAAGCTTGCAAAAGAATATAAAAATGATGAAAATAAGAAAGAGAAAAAAGAATAAGATAGTTAAAAGAATGAAGTAATTTTTTTTCTTCATAAAATGTATTTAGAAAATCAAATTAATAACATTTTTTTCTTGACATCTACTAAATAGCACAACATTTAAAATTTAACAGTATTATAAATTATTTATTATAATTATCAGTTAAATGTTTAACAGTTACTTATACTTGTTTTTTTTCTGAATGATATATCATTAAAAAAAAACAGTTACTTATGCATATTCCATAATTTTTAGCACCGATAGCAAATCAATGAATAATGATATTTCATGAATATTAATGATCAAATAGCGAATAGTCCGATACAAATGGTATTAGTAGTCATAAATATTTAATCAATACAACTATATATAGGGTGCACTGGTATATTATCGTGTTTCATGCTAAGACCTTTTTAATAGATATATAAAATATTTTTGAGAACACAAGAAAATAGGCTTTTATGTATATAAATATCCTAATAAATATGTTCTTGAAAAACGAACTGAGTTAATTATGTAATGAAAGTTTGGAATAGAATTATAGAAGATGTCTCTTGACAAAAATTACATTAAACAATAAATGTGTATTATATATATATATATATATATATTCTATTTTATATTTTGAGAAAATCTACTATGTCGACATTGTTTCCAGTGCTTCCTTCATCATTCTCTTTTTCTGTGTATTATATATATATATATATATATATATATATATATATATATAAACGATAATTAATATTTATGTAATTTATTAGAGGGCCTAAGATAATATTGTCTGTATGAACTTGCATGTTAAACGATCCCGAGTGACATATTGTTTTTATATTCTCTCTCTCTTCTTAAGTCAGTAAAACAATTTGAATAAAAAAAGAATACAAAGATAAATAAAATCTCAAATGGTTTTATTCTTTCACATATGATAATGAATATTCATTATTTATTATTATTATTATTATTATTATTATTATTATTATTATTATTATTATTATTATTTTCTTCTTTCATTGAACGTGAAGGATAAGATGATATACATTAGAGTCATTAATATTCCATACCTTCGTGGATTACTTAAATGTGGTTGAATACAATAACAGTTCTCCCAAAAGATCCTGTAATGCATCTCAACTTTATCCCAGCTATTCTTGACTCAAAAAAAAAAAACACAAAAATGGAGGGTCATATGGTGTGCTATTGCTTGGAATATTTAGAATTAGAGAAATGCATGTGTATTCAAGCATAATCAGTTTGTTCAGCAAAAATTAATGAAGAAAATCATCCTCACAGCTTGGAAGTGACTAAGTGTAAAACAAAACAATTTTCATATCCATTTCTACTTATGGTCAATAAATCCTGGCTTGTGCATTTAAAAAAGTACTTGACTAGTGCTGATGGGTCACCCTTAGAAGGATTATGTACTTCGTGGTGCTAGGTTATTTTATATACCTAAATTGTTATTTGTTTTTTTGAGCCCCGGGTTAAAATATAATTAATTTGATACTACAAACTCAAATTAGTTTTAACCAAAGATATTATAACATTCTATTTATCCTATGTATATGGGTTTTGGTACCTTTTACCTCTATATATAAATACAAATATTTGTTGGCTGATAAAAAAGAAAATATGCATGTACTTGTTTAATCAAATTTGAGAAAAAACTTCATTCTAATAGAATTTTCCGATCCAAAGATAAGTGACGTAACATTTGACTCTTACATGAATATTTTTTTATTATACATATATATGAATTTAATATACTCTTAATAAATGCATACTTAACTCTATTATTACATATATATTAAATAATATTGTTTAAAATAATATGTATGCAAAAATAAAAAAATCGTCTTTATATACAAATATATATTATTATTATCATTATTATTTTGTAATATGACTATATGTTAGAATAGTGAATTTAAGCCTAACTCAACTCTATAAAACCGGCTTGTAAGGTGAGGGTTGCTTTCCACTTATATACTATTCAATTGCCTAATCTCTAGTCGATGTGGGACTTGGGTTTTTCCCAATACACCCCCTCACGTCCAGCACTATTGGGCTTGGTACGTGGATAAATGGTGGGTGGCCCTTTTTAATGATCTAGGATTGGCGGGACTTGGGTTTTTCCCAATACACCCCCTCATGCCTATGAGGCATGCATCAATGGTGGGTGGCCCATTTTTTAAAATGGATCTAAATGGCTGTGATACCATGTTAGAATAGTGGATTAACATGGTATCAGAGCCATTTAGATCCACTTTAAAAATGGGCCACCCACCATTGATGCATGCCTCATAGGCATAAGGGGGTGTATTGGGAAAAACCCAAGTCCCACATCGACTAGAGATTAGGCAATTGAATAGTATATAAGTGGAAAGCAACCCTCACCTTACAAGCCAATTTTGTAGGATTGAGTTAGGCTTCAATCCACTATTCTAATACTATATAGACATATATTAGTTTAATTTACTTAAAAAATTGTTTTTAAAAGTTAAATACAGCTAAACATTTAGAATGTTAAAGTTTTATTATAACTATATATACAATGGAGTGAGTAACCAAAGGTAAAACACAAATCACTACCCTGTATTGTGGAAATAAAAATAAAAAATTGGAAGACATATTAGTGTACCGTGTCTCGTATATTTGAATAACAATCTACTATTAGAATTTCTCTTATTATATGCGATTTTTTCTGTAAATTTTTATGAAAAATTTGCAGGAAATATTGTTCTAACAAATTTTTTTGTGAAATTTTATCTGCAGGTAATATCTTCGTGGATAATATATTTTTGCGAATTTTAAAATTCGCAGGAAACTTTCCTGCAAAAAAAAGTTTGTAAGAAAATTCGTAGGAAAGTTTCTTGCAAATTTTTTCGCAAGAAATTCTGTAGGAATATTTTTTACAAAAAAAATTAAAGAAATTATTATAAATTCTATCAATAATTCTTCAACTTTCAAATGTTCACAATAAATTCATCCGAAGCATTTGTTTCCATGCCTCCAACATGTGATACATAATCTTTTAAATTCTAAGATTGTAGATTATAAGCCTAACATTCAACAATACAAATCAACTTATAAGGTAAGTGTTGTCCCAACTTATATATTTTTTAATTGTTTTATTTTCAATCGATGTGGAACTTGAAGTTTTTTTTTTAAAATATTAAACTTATAAATTTAAATATTTTTTTTTTATTTTTCCTGCAAATTAAAATTTGCAAAAAAATCTGCAGGAAAAGTTACCTGCAAAATTTTTCTACCATTTAGTAAACATTACTTACAAAATAAAATTGTTACAATATTTTTTTGCAAATTTTTACCATAGAAAAAAATTTCTATGATCATTAAAATTGTAGCCAAATTTGCAAAAATTTATTGTAAATTATTTTTCGTAAAAAAATTTGTAAAAAATATATGTAAATTATTTTTTGCAAATAAATTTATAAAAATATTTTGCAAAATTATTATGCAAGAAAATTTATAAAAAAATTTCTGTGAATATTTTTTTGTAAAAAAAAATTTACAAGAAAATGATATTTTTCTAGTAGTGTGACTTCTAGTAGTGTGATTTCAACATGTATTCCATATAGAAATTTCAGTTGTTAGCTGCACCAACTAAAACACACAGTGATCACCTGAGTCTTCCACGTGGAGTATATTTGGAAGCCAAGTGTCATTTTTAAATTTAAAAACGAAAAAAATGCGTGACATGAAATATACAAGATTGAGTTATGATTTATAGAGTTGACTATCCAAGAGAGAAAATAAGCTTAAAAATAGTCTGACTTTGATAATATGTTCCTAAAAGAGCCTTAATTTCTCAAGGGACCCATTATGCCCCCTTTAATTTGTCTATTTTTATACACTCATTGATTGAAAATCTCATTGTTAACACTTTTGACGGAAAATATTTTTATACAAGAATAACATCGCTAGTTAGTTATACGATACTCGAAACAAGCAAATTAATTATTGAAGAATGGGAAGACTTTTACTAACAGGTATGATATAACACTAAGATATTTGAAACAACTTTAATTCTTGAAATTTGGCTTAGATATATTAGAAATTTATAACTCAAGATATGTGTCTTAATATTTCTAGCAATATTAGTAGTGAAAAATAACAATAACTCATGACTTAAAATGGATTTATATCAGCAATCCCTTAAAATGGGATTAATGTAAATATTAAAGAGAAGTATTAACAAACACACTCTTCTTAAAATATTTACTTTTATTAATTAGGATTTATTTAAAATTATAAAATTAAGAAAGAAAATCATTAAATAAAATATGAGGCTCATCAAAATTTGTATTTCTCAATAAAGAGTAACAAAGAATATGTTGCTAATATTTCTGAATATTAAATTTATTGATATAGTCATTTTTACTTCAATTTAAATTTTTTATTCACCTAAAATATCATGCACATATAATTTTTGTCTTTATCAAATTTTGGATCAGATAAGATTATCCATTATTTTTATTAATGCAATTTTTTTCTTGGCCTTTAGTTTTATACATGTTTTTTTTCCCCTCTAAATATCTATTGGAGGTTTTTCTTCTCACTATAGTTTTAACAAAACACTACTATTTTTATCGACATGTTTTTTGGTGGATGGAATGAACCCCTACCCACCACTATTATTGATGAGAACTTCAATATTTGTGAATTCGAGTCATATAGCGCATAATTAACATTACTTTCATCCTAATAGTTGGCAGAGGGTGTAAAGAGCAATGCCTGCACTTGGTCATCAACTGTAAGTGAACTTTGATCATCTCCATGCTGATAAATAGCTTGAGCTGCTCTAGCCATGTTGAGAGAAGTCCTCGCAACTGACAAAGGAAAATCAGTTGTGGTCAAGGCAAGACCGTTTAGCTCTAACCATAAGTTCCCTATGAGCTTTCTTATATGTTTCCTAGCAACATTTTCATCAGAAATATTATTTTCTGCCATGAGACATTGTATGCTGCAAGCATTATCTCCTCTTTTCTGTTCATCCTGAAAATGAAACATTAACAACTTCTCATCACAATGTCCATTTTATAGTTCAAATATGTTATAAATCTAATTAAAATGATTACCATAATTGATATTAGGATATTTAGGATACTTTTGATATTAGGTCAATTAGATGTAATCAATTACTGACTAGAGAAAAGAGATATGTAAATGTATCAATATAAAATGAGGTACCCTTGAGGTTCCTAAGTCGTCCCAAAGCCTAAGAATTTCCCCAGAGCAAGAGAAGATCCTCGGATATGGGATCATCATGGAAATGGTTTTCTCTGAAAGGTTGTCTCCAATAAGTAAAGTTGAATGCACTAAGGCCATAAATGACGCTGAAGAAATCACTCCATTATCCAAATATTCCCTAAAAGTTGGGACATACTTATTGTTGAACCATTTGGCTTCTTTTAAATAGGCTTCAAATATGTCTATCCACTGCAACAATTAACCATCAACCTCTCATTAACCTCAGTCTTGCCAATAGTTTCATAAAATGTTTCAGTGTGAAAGGATATTCTTATTCTTACGTACTGTTCTTTTTATGCAAGTAATAACAGTTTTCCCGTGCTCTTTCTGAATTCTGTATGCAATTTCATGGATGGTGTTGTACAATGCCATATAGCATATCTTCATATATTCGGGTAGTTGCTCCATCGCATCAAGATCCCACCTATAAATAATAATAGTTTCACATTTTGATCATTAATTTTTCTAGTTGATTTTAATTCAAACAAATTCTAGATTTGAAGACCTTCTGATTGCCATGGTAAAAGGAACAAGTTCATCTAACTTTCCATGAGTGTCGAACATATCATCCATAACTTGCAAAACAGATATTGCTTTTGCAAGTTCAATGCGGCAATTTGAATAGCATGGCTCTGGTAAAATCCCTAACACCCAGAGAAAACACTCTCCTGGTTTATCTCTGCCAAAACCAATACTTTCAACAAGTCCCAAGTTTTTCCACCACCTAATCAAATCAAAGAAATAGTCCTGTATGACATATTCAAAGCATATTTGCTTTTTCGATATTAATATAATGAAAATGATATGAATAAAAGTGGGAAAAACATAAGTTGGAATCTAAGTAACAATTGAAGGGATATTTGGACGTACATTAGATATCTTTTATTTTAATTCCCATTTTTGACTTACACCAATCACGCCCTTAGTTCAATTATTTATTATTATCATGCATCATGCATAATACAAAATTAACTTTTACACCAATCATGCTCTTAGTTCAATTATTATTATTATTATTATTATTATTATTATTAGGCTTAAATATGTTTTTAGTCCTTCAAATTTAAGATAAATTTATTTTTAGTCCCTCAAATTTAAAATTGTTATTTTTAGTCCTTATAATTTTCAAAAATCTTGCTTTAGTCCCTTAGGTTATCAATAACATATTTGAAAGTGACTAATTAAGACAATTATAGAATATCAACTGGATTTAATGTGATATTTTCACTAATAAGGACATCAATAGGTAAATTTTATGCAATAATGTTTGATAAATTTCTTAACAAAATTTGAATATAAAGACTAAAATAAGATTTTTTTGAAATTATAAGGACTAAAAACAATAATTTTAAATTTGAAGGACCAAAAATATATTTATCTTAAATTTGAGAGACTAAAAACATATTTAAGTTTTATTATTATTATTATTATTATTATTGTTATCATACATAACACAAAATTACCTTGATATCTCTGCTAATTCTTTTTGGTGCATCGATTGACTAATGTCAAAGTCAAGCCTTGCCAACTTTAGAAGATCTGGTATTTGGCTGCTTGTTTTCCTACATTCGACCATGTAGTTTTTGGCTTCTAACCTAGCCATTCGTAGGTGCCTTGGAAGCATTAAGGCTCCACCTACAATATTTTTTACTTCAAGACTTAGGTATGGGAGTGACCGATGCAAATGAGCCCTTGAGAAGTCCATGGCCTGTTGTAGTACTTCTTCATCTTTTGTACCTAAATATGATGACTCATACAAACTTAACATGCCCCAAATGTCTTTGGTGACTGATTCCTTGAAATTTCCACTTTTGTCCAAAAATTTATTGAAAACATCTATGGTCAATCAACAACACAATCAAATTAGTAAGCTTGGGTAACATCATTTAGTTGACATATTAGGTTAAATGAGAATATAATCCATGAGAATACGCTTGTGGATAATTTTGTATTATACATGTTTAATATTCAAATGATCATTCATGAGAGTAATGAAAAAATGGAATTCTCTCATGTTTTAAGAAGACAAAAACAAATTATAATAGTGAATCATGGTAATCATGCTTCTATTTTTGTGTCTAATTTTCTTTTTTCTCTTGTAGCATCAGGGAGAGGAAAATAAAGACAATCAAAATTCAATATATTTGTTGTGCCTAAAGTGTGTGGGTATCTTCCAAAGTCTCACATCGAATAGTTTTGAAGAAGGGAAGTGATAGACTACTACTATAAATAAGGGGTGATAGTTTGGGTTTACTCACCACAACAACACTAGTCTTTGGGTGTATTGGGGATTAGGGTAGTTGTGTGTCAAGAGAGGGTTTGCAATTTTTCCATGCAAAAATTGTGTAAGAGGGTTTGCAATTTTATCCTTGTAAAAATTGTAAGTGGAGAAATAAAATAATTTGTTGAGTGTGGATGTAGGCAAGAAGTGTCGAACCATGTTAATTTCTGAGTTTGTTTCTCTATTTTTTGTTTCTCTCGTGTGTGTGGTTCTGTTGTTGAAGTTTTCTTTTCCTTCTAGAGCCAAGTTAGTGTGGTAAGACTCTGTGGGATTCTTAATTCTTAGTATGCTCTGTGATTGCAGCATTGTCTGATCTTCCACATCAGAAAAGAATTGAGGTTTTGACCAAGGGAGGATTTTCATGAAGCAGTGTACCAGGGAGGAAAAGAAGGGGTTTCCAAGTTTCGCCAGAAAACTTGTGAGAAGGGGTTTTCAAGTTTCGCCAGAAAACTTGTGAGAAATGGTTTTCAAGTTTCGCCAGAAAAACTTGTGAAAAGATGATTTTTCAAGTTTCGCCAGAAAACTTGTGAGAAGGGGTTTCCAAGTTTCGCCAGAAATCTTGTGGATGATGATGGATTAATGTGAGATTTTGGATGAAGGGAGGATATGTTGTGCCCAAAGTGTGTAGATATCCTCCAAAGTCCCACATTGAGTAGTGTACTATCCGTACCGCTATGCCGAGCTTGAGCTCGGCATCATAGCGCAGAGTGACCTCGGACACGCGCTATGCGACATCGGCTCGCTATCCAATTAGGTCATAAACTGATCTCAGGCCCAAGGCCCAACAAAATCCTAATACACACAAAGGTACGTGCATTACTTATACGAGACTCATACACCCACAAATACTAACTTTAGCATCGGAGTCTCTTTTCCAGGTACCACCCCCATCTTGGAGCATCAAGCGTACCAGCGAAGGAGGCTCACCAATCTTACTCGGAGGATCATCTTTACAGCAGATTTTCGGTAAGAACATTTGGCGCCCACCGTGGGGCCGATCAAGACAGCTCTTATCGGCCACTCTTATGGTTTCTACCAGAAGCCATAGCAGACGCGCAACAGACGACCTAGATCACGCAACTACCATGGACAACGAAGCAGCATTGAGAAGGCTGATCAAGCAGGTCGAGCAGATGCGGCAGCAACACACTGCCGATCTGCAAAACATGCGTGCCAAGCATGAAACTGACCTAGCCGCAATGCGAACCGCCAATGAAGTAGACCTAGCGACGCTGCGCGCCGAGAATGAGCGTATCCACGCTCAGCTACCACGGCGCACCTCTGATCAACCCCCTCAACCGAGTCACCTAAACGAGGAAGAGGGGCACTCGGTTTCTCAACTGCCAATAGTGCATAGGACACCGACTCCAAAGCCTGCCACGCATCGATCTCATGCACCGATACACAAATCGGCCCATGAGGTCAGCAATGCTCCTACTCATGTCACGGGGGATCAACCAACCTTCCGCCGTCATCCTTTTATGGATGGCATTATGGAGACGCCACTCCCTCTCGGATGGAAGCCTCTCCACCTCGACCGCTACGATGGCACGACATACCCAGACGAGCACATCAACCTGTACACCACACATGTAAACCTCTACACCAATAACGATGCTACTCTATGTAGGGTTTTTCCGACCTCGCTCAAAGGGGCCGCACTCAACTGGTACACCCAGCTACCTACCGAGTCAATTGATAGCGTGTGTGGATAATTAGATTAAGGTTCGTACTCGACCTTCAACGAGGATACTGGGGTTTGTTCTCGACCTCGGATCTGCGCGAATGATTGGATTAAGGTTCGTGCTCGACCTTTAACGAGAATACTAGGGTTCGTTCTCGACCTCGGATTTATGTGTCTTAATTGTCTTGAGGTTCGTACTCGACCTTCAACGAGGATACCGACGTTCGTACTCGACCTCGGATTCATGTGACTCAATTGTCTTAAGGTTCGTACTCGACCTTCAACGAGGATACCGGGGTTCGTACTCGACCTCGGATTCATGTGACTTAATTGTCTTGAGGTTCGTACTCGACCTTTAACGAGGATACCGGGGTTCGTACTCGACCT